CACTACAGGAAAACAGCTCATTTCCGACAGAATTTCCGGCGGAAATAAAATTCGTCAGAAATTCCGACGGATTTTCCGACGAATTTCCAACGGAATATTTCCGGCGGATTTTCCGGCGTACTTCCGACGGAATTTTTGAAGTTATTTCTGGCGCATTTTCTGTTGGCTTTTCCAACGGACTTTCCGGCGGATTTCCGACGAAATTAAAAATTTTCTGGAAAATGACAATTAGTAATATTTAAAATAATTTTTTTTGTTAAATAAAATATTGCTAAAATAAATTAAATTAAAAAGTTTAATAATTTAGTGCTAAATTAAATATAATAATTATTTTGATCTTAAAAAAAACTTAGCTTTTAAATATAATAATTATTTTAAATATAAATTAAATTAAACCATTATAAATTAATTTAGTTATTTTGAATTTTATTAAGTTTATATTTTAAACTCACATTATAAATATTTTAAATAAATTATATTAAATATATTAATTTTAATCTTTTAATATGTTAACTATTTTAAATAGTACTTACTGTGTGCTTTAATATAAATAAAAAATATCTCACATATTTAAGTGTTTTGCAAAGGTGGCCAAGTGGTTCGGTAGAGGGTTTGGAGAGCTTTCCTTCAGAAGGGCGGGGGTTCGATTCTCACGTTGTGCATTCGCTGCGGGTGGGGCGGGTCACGAGTTGAGCCAACGGATCGGGGTTGTTGAGCTAACGGGTCGGGGGTTGAGCGGCGGGGTTGGGGGCTTCAGCCAGAACGGGTACCTGCTTCAGCCGGAACAAAAAAAAAAATTCTTTTTTTTTTAAAAATAAATTTCCGGCGCATTTTATTTGCACCAGAAATATTTCCGACGAATTTTTCGCCGGAATTGCGCCGGAATTTTTCCTGGCGGAAACAGTTGCGCCGATAACGCTTTTGCGACGCGCGTCAAACCGGCGTAAATATTTCCGTCGGAAATCCGCCGGAAATACTAACTTCCGGCGGATTTTGTCCATTTTCCGACGAACAATTGACGTCAGAAATTGACATTTTTCCTGTAGTGCGCTACTACCCCCGCTGCCGCTCCCATTCAGCTCCCGCGACTTCGGCTCCATACAGATCCGCACACCCCCAACATGCCCAACTCCACTTTCACCTTCAGATCTGCTCGTTGTTGTCCCTCTAATCAATCCATCGGATTCTTCCTCTATATTCCCCTGTGATCTGACCCCTCTTTTCGGCCTAGAGCTCTCCGGAGATTACCTCCGCTCGCAAATCTTCAACCCGGCCTCTTCTACTGCCCATGAGAAATCCAGCCCCTCCTCCCGCCCATGTGAGACCGATGCTGATCGCGACCAGTCCTACAATCTCGATTCTGTGTCATCTCACAACCAGAGCCATGATCCAAAGCTCTTCCAACGCGATTTCAGCACTAACACTCCGTCCTTGAGTCTGCTCCGCTTCGACAATCCCTTGCACGTTTTTTTCCCTCACCCCAGCACGATTCTACATGTAAGGGTATATCTAGGTGAGAGGATACTATTTGGTCTTCTGGTGAAGCAATGACGCAGATGCTTTTTTTAGCATCGTAAGCAAAAAAGCAGCAAAATGTTGAATTTATTTTAAAATTTTTGGTCTTCCAAAAGATGATGGCCCAATTATTCTGGTTGTAAATGCTCGCGCTAGCGAGGATATCCATGATTTTGTCATTGGCAAATATCATTTAACATACAAGCTGAGTGGATTAAAGCAATTGCGTGATGCCTTAGCACTTGGATCTCAACTAAAAAAATCCTCTGTAAAAAGAGATGCGTGTTTTGTGGGATCATGCTTTGAGAATTTTGAAATACTACGTGGTAGAACATCAGCTCAAACAGACTATGAGGAAGATGCAAATGATGCTGCAATTTCGATTGAATCCCTCAAGCACCTAACTTGCATGCGAGTAATGATTGGGCATCAAAGATGCAAAGTGTTTGACCCCAGAGGATTGATTATAATTTCTATATCTATCTTCTTTCCAAAAAAGAACCTCAACGGAGTCGAGCCTTCTTTTTACGCTAAGGGAGTATGATGTAGGAACATCATAACTATTAATGGCTTAAGGACTAGCCTACCTCTAATATTCTAGATAGTTCTATTTTGCTTTATAAACAGCTAGCTAATGCAAGAGAGTGGTATATATTGATGAATATTATCTATTTTTGAAGCTTTAAGCTTGGTGTTACCTTTGTTCCTTGGATTGAGATTAAATCCTTCAAGCATTCTCTTCTTCTAACGATCCACCCCACATCAATTGAAGAGAACAAGTGTATTAGTTTCTCCATTCCCCATAAAAGTAGATAGGCTTCTCTACTTTATGCAAAGCAAACATAGAAATCATAGTGAAATTCCCAAGTAGACTAAGGGAGTGGATGTAAGCCCATAGTGTTAAAGGCAATAAGAGTGGGGGAAGTCTTTCAACTTGGAACTACAAGTAAATAAAAGAAGATGATATTAACTTATGTCACTTATTGTTTGTTCTTTCATTTTTCTCTCAATGTTTTACATAAATGACACATTTTTTATTAGTTTCATTTAATGAAAGGATCTTTGCAACAACTTGAAATGTTAATTGTAAATCCCCAGCAAGGATTGGCTTCATGCCACTTCTCCTACAGATGTATATATGTATTAAGCTATATAGTTTACCTTTTAATCAGATTCAATATAACTATTACTCCAATTCTTCAGGCCATAACATCCATCTTTAATAACTATAGGAGCTATTATTATAATGCTTCATACTGTAATGTATGTTCAAATGCATAAGATATATTCTTTGGTTCCTTAACAAGGATTTAATTTTTATCTTTACATAGAAATTTCAACCTAAATAATGATTTGTTAAGAGTACGATGTATATAATTCTACATTGTTACATACTTTCACATGACAGTTAGAGGGAGTTTTGTACTAAGGATAATGGAGAATATTCAAAAACTTTTTTTTTAAAGAATATTCAAAAAACTTAAATAATGATTATCTTGCACACTAGTTAACCCTAATAGTAAAGAAACAACAATTGAAGAGAGTTGAGAGGAGGAGAAAAGTTACTCTCTATGCTACAATGGAGTTATTAAAGGGTCTTTTATCCCCTCCCATCCATCTTGAGGGAACAAGGGATATATATATATATATATATATGGCATGGCGCGTTAATTATTTCCTTAAAATATTGGAATAAGGAGCGACGAATATGAATTGCAATGCCAATTGGGCTGGAGGCCCACTTATTTAAAAGGCCGACATAACAATAATAGCTGAAATATAATCTACGGAGGGAGCGATAGAGAGAGAGCGCGCGGCGAAAACCCTAAAGAGGCTAAACCCTACTTGCGTTCCTATAAGTTCTCCCCTTCCGTTGTCGACCGCAGCCTGATTTCCCCGCACGGAACCTTTGTTTCAGAGCTTGAGCGGCTGCCATGAGACCTCCAAGAGGTACTTTCCTTCCTCCTACCCCACCTACTAAAGTGCTTCTCTGCACTTCATGGATCTTTTTCTTTGATCGCTTATTTGTATTTTTTTTTTTTGGCCAAATCATATGATTCTTACCAGTGCTAACTATCAATTCTCGCTTTCAGGCGGTGGATTCAGGGGACGGAGTGATGGCGGCGGCGGTAGGGGCCGAGGAAGAGGAGGTGGAGGTAGAGGAGAAGGAAGAGGAGGAAGCAGGGGCCGTGGCTTCGGTGGTGGGCGAGGAGCCGGCCGAGGAGGTATGAGGGGGAGAGGAGGCCGTGGAGGGATGAAGGGCGGAAGTAAGGTCGTGGTGCAGCCCCACCGACATGATGGTGTTTTCGTTGCAAAGGGAAAAGAAGACGCCCTCTGCACAAAGAATATGGTTTCCGGTGAATCCGTGTACGGCGAGAAGCGTATTTCTGTTCAGGTGATCGGTTTAAATCTAGAGTACTCTTACTTGATGATATTTATGTATTTTAGTGGCTTCTTTGTTGTGGAAGATCCCATCGTATTGTGATGTTTATGTCTGTCTGCGATGCTTCTAGTTATGGATGGTTGTATTATGTTTTCTGTCGATTTTACGGGTTTGTTGATTCTTATTGCAGAATGAGGATGGAACCAAGGTGGAATATAGGGTGTGGAATCCATTTAGGTCAAAGCTGGCAGCAGCGATTCTTGGTGGTGTTGATAATATTTGGATTGTGAGTTTGATTCCATGCTATTCAAGTTGATTGAAGCACATTGCTTGATTGGGATATTGATAAAAATATTTCCTTTAACAAGAATCTTTCTCCTCCGCAGTAACCGTTTTATGCAATTTTTTTATTGTTTCCTGCGTAACCTATTTAGCAACATAATCTCGATATGGATAGTTTTGTTTGCGTTTACTGTTTCTTTTAGCTATTAAATTAAATTGAAGCAAATAACCAAATATTTTAACTTAGCTATAGAATGTGTCTGACTCGTTTTCCTTGATCTTTAAGTTTGACATTGCTGCAAGGTGTCTGTTTTCTTTTAAGAATTTGTCATAGCAGGCATCAACCTCATGGACAAAATGGGGCACTTTTTAAAATTGAAATTAGGAAGGATGACTCTGTAAATAAGAGTTAAGAGAAGGGGCCTAGCAAACGGTTAAACAAATGACTTCAGAAGTTACCCGGTCAAGGTGTAGCTTTTGAATTTGCCCATTAATGGGTCTATTGTGCAAGGGATTTCTATTCAACTGCTTTTCTTTGGTTTATCATGCTCATTTTAATCAATCTAAAGAGAAATTTTTATTTGAACAAATTCATGTTGAGTTCCTAACATACACAATTGGCTTGATAGATTGATTTTTATCATCTCAAGAAAATAATTAACGTGGGTTAAATGATATAATGAAATAAAATTACAGAGATGCAATAATGTATGAGAAACTTGGCTATTAATGAATTGTAATAACTTCTATTAGATAACACGTCCATGAAAAAATGATAAAATTTAACTGAGATAGAAATTATCAATTTGTAGCTGCATCTAATAATCTATAGAAAACTTTATTATAAAATTTGTTTTTATATGTATCGGATCACCAAATATGAATGCATAACTGAATGTTAAGTTAAATATGACTTGATTGTGATCTATTTATTTAATATAGCCCTTAAAAAGATTATGATGATATCTTTATTATGAATTACAAACCCAAGTAGGAAATTAGAAATAAAAAAGGCTGGCCGAGTAGTGTTTGCTCTTTTAATGGATGGCTTTTGAATTCACCTGTTGTCATGACTTTTAAAATGGTTTGAAGTTACCCTTCTTCTTTGTTCTTATGTTCTTATTTAGATAAGATCACTTCTAAACTTTACCTAGGGCACCCTTTGTGAAAATTTCAACTAATCCAATGATTCTTGAACTCTAGTCTGCAAGCTTTCTTTTAAAGAAAACTCTTTTACTTTTTTTCCCCCATTTTGATAGTCTGAAGTGCAGCAACCAAGATTTTTTTTTGAACATGCCTATAAAATGCATTTATATATTTCTATTACCTATGTTTGCAATGCATAATGTTATGTAAATATTCTGGGTTGTTGGGGTCAAGTTATTCATATATATATATATATATATATATATATATATATATAAATATTTGAAAGCTATACATTTTCATTTCTGTTTTGGAACACATAAATCAACATATCTTCTCCATCCTTTGGTTTTTCTATCATGCCTACGATCAACACTGGAAGCTGCATCCATGCTAACAATTTTCTAATGGTTTTATTCTCTTCTAGGCTCCTGGCTCTCGGGTACTTTACCTTGGGGCTGCATCAGGGACTACAGTATCACATGTTTCTGATATTGTTGGGCCGGTAAATCTCGTTCGTTGTGAGAAATTGGGCTCTCTTTTAATTTATTATTGCCTGACACTTAAACCTATTGTATATTGGCAGACTGGAATGGTCTATGCTGTTGAATTTTCAAATAGGAGTGGTAGGGACCTAGTAAACATGGCAAAGAAGCGCACCAATGTTATTCCAATAATTGAGGATGCAAGACATCCTACTAAATATCGCATGTTAGTTGGAATGGTGGATGTTATTTTCTCTGATGTTGCTCAGCCGGATCAGGTATATGTTTTTCCTTTACTACCAGGATTGCTAGCATTTGTTGCATTTCAGGAACATGTCCTATTTGTTTCCTTCTTAGTTTGGTTTTTTAATTGTCATTCTTTGGTTACTTTTCCATTCACCTTATTTTTATTATATATTGATATTGTATTTTGCTAGATCTGCTTAGATATTTTCTTTAAGAATTTCATTTATATGTAAATCTACATGGAACAAGTTTTGATAAATATGCATGCAAAGCTTCACTAGCATATCATAGACTTGGATTATATGGCAATTGTTTTCTATTATACTTCGCAGCAGGATGATGTCTAATCTTCTTTCAGAAAAAAAAAATCGGTTTTTGACAACCTTGAACATTATTGTAGTTTTTTTTTTCATTTTTTGAGCTTTCCATTAGCACTTAACATTTGGTTTCTAATAATTTTTTTTTAATTACACAACTTTTTAGACATCCATAATACAAGGTTTTGATTCGTATTAGCTTCTGTTGTTTTTATTATTACATATATGACTATTCATGCTCATAGAGAATGATCTGCTCGGTGAGCTTTGACTTTGTTTACTTTTTTTTTTAATTTTTTGAGGTATTTTGCATGGTTGATGCATGTTTCGCTTTATAATACAAGGTTTTGATTCATATTAGCTTCTGTTGTTTTTATTATTACATGACTGACTATTCATGCTCATAGAGAATGATCTGCTCGGTGAGCTTTGACTTTGTTTACTTTTTTTTTTAAAATTTTTTGAGGTATTTTGCATGGTTGATGCATGTTTCGCTTTATAATACAAGGTTTTGATTCATATTAGCTTCTGTTGTTTTTATTATTACATATATAACTATTCATGCTCATAGAGAATGATCTGCTCGGTGAGCTTTGACTTTGTTTACTTTTTTTTTTAATTTTTGAGGTATTTTGCATGGTTGATGCATGTTTCGCTTTATAATCAAGCATATGATGAAATACTCGGATTCCCCTTCTGAAAATCATATGGATGATGCAAGTTCGAGTTTCTGATGCAAAAATCTTCTACTATTGATTATTTAAATCTGCTGATATTTATAGATTTATTTGTTTTTCCTTTATTTTTCTTTGATTTTATTTATTTCTTTCTTTTTCTTTTTTTGTTATGATAAAACACAATTCATTTGGCTCTTTGTAGCTTACTTTTTAGAAGGAATAGTATAATAGTGTGAAGTTTTGAGTGTTTTCCATTTGAAGATCAACGAGGTGATATATTTATTTTGTTGAATTGTGCTGTTGTTGGTACTCGTTCACAACTCACTTTTATGTTTTTTTTTTGTTTTTTTTGCATGGGTATGTTCATTAATCTTGCTTGATCTTATGTTGTTATTGCAATCATTTTATATGGAAGCACCATTCTTATTGGTGTCTATGGATTTCTTATGAATGATAAGTATATTATTATCTACTTTTGAGCCTATATATTTGCATTAGAAGGCCAATGACCTCAGCTATTTATTTAGTTGAATTTCATGCATAGTGAAGTTAGTGCAAAAATTAAGAATCACGCTAGTTCTTTTTTCTGCGTTCTGTTAGCTATCCAACGAGCCCATCACTTTTCATGGTGATTTTTTGCCAAGCTAGATTTTTATAATTTCCCCACGTTTACAAACTTATTATTGAGGTCAAGTATGCGATAGAATTACTTGAATCAAGACTTGAAAATGGATGATGCAATGGCCAAATATTTTTTGCTTACAATCTTTTTTTAATGGTATTTTTTTTTATAATGGAGTTTTAAATGGTCTTCTACCTGCATGATTGTTTTTGTGAATCAGTTTGTTTTTTATTTTCCATATACTATCAGTATCAACTTATTCACCCAATCTCTTCCGCTATTCTGTGATTGGTTATTATCAGCTGGACAGTTAATGTCCAATTTTGCTCTGGTAGATTTTTTAATGTTGCCAAATTCTGTATTTTCTTGTTCTTGGCAGACATTTGATGGGTTGTAAGATTTTTTTCCAAACATGGAAAGCCTTAAATTCTTGATGACAAATTTATTGGAACGATTTGGTGTTTTTGATGGTATCTTAGTCGGGTGGTTTCATGATGCTGGATAGCTTTGAATTGAAAACGATGGAACTTGTTCCAATTTTATGTTATATTCATTTGAAAAATTTAGAAGCTTTTTATGAAACTGAAAGTTGGATTGCATTATAATTTTGTCGGAATAAGGCTATACATCACCAACTTTTAGCTTTTGTACTGTATCTTTGAATTTAAAAGTCTTTTTATGATTCTTCTGTGTACTTTTAGCATTTGTGTTGATCTTTCGTTTAACATTTCCTTTGTAAGCTACTACGTAAATCCTAATTTTTTACCCATGCGAATTTCATTTATATAACAATGTTTGGATTAGGCTTTTGTTACTTTGTTATTATATTTGAAATTATGGTTAACTTAGTTTTTTTTCTTGTTCTGCCTGAGTTTGTTTAACCATGTTTTTCAATAACTATTTTCTATGGCCATGATATTATTTTGACTTGCACCTATGTATAAACCCCCATGTGGTAGGATATAGGTTTGATGTTGATTTTTTTGACCTATTTAATTATAATGATATATTAATTCAAAGCACTATGTGGCGCCTTGAAAATCATTAAGAAGACTAATTTGACTTTTATGAAGTAACGTCTGCATAAGTTAATGTTTGTTTTAATGACAAAATCATGACTTATTGTGTTCTTAAATCAGGAGACTTTTTGTTGGATTTTTTTGGTTAATAGTTACTTTCGGTGTTGTTTGTTATAGCATTCAATTTTTTTGCCTTTTTCATGGTAACTTATCCATTTTTTGTTCCCAAGTAATATGAATTTGAATTTGAAGTTGAATAGTCTGCGTAGAACAAATATTTGTGTTTTTTGTGTAAATTTGAGATTAATTAAGTAGTGCATAAGACAATTTTAAACTATCATGGAGATTTGCTAAAATATGAGTTTAAAATCATTGTTTAAAATTGTGCAACGTGAGATGAGTGTTGAGTCTCACGTCACCTTAATTTTGATAAAAAATGCCTTGAGGTGTACATCGCGAGTTTTTTTTTTTGTGAAGCATGCGCTTCACCTTATTTATAGTTGTATTTTCAAATAAAATGCACTTAAAATTCTAAACTAAAACCTCAAACAAATCACACCTTCATGCACTTTGGAGCCACAACAGTTTCCTATTGACTACCTTGACCTCCAGCTCACCGTTTCCACCGTACTCATTCTATTTCAACTATGGAGGTATTGGACTTCGTATGTTATGAGGCAAGGGGAAGAGCAAATATCTTCGGATGATGACTCAAATGAAGATTCGCTTAGTGATGATAGTGCAGATGACTTTCGAGTTATTGTCATACAATTTTAGCTTTCTTTAGAAATTAAATGTGGATGAGTAGGAACTGGGAAAGAAGGAATTTTGAGTTGAACTCGATGTTATATAATATTTTTATGCAATTCTTATATTTTGTGTTGTTTTGCTCTTGTGGTATTTCAAATCTATTTCACACAATTTATCAGTTGCTATTTTATGTCTTGTGCAATTTTTGTTTCATATATATTTCAATTTGTTTCTTTATAGTTCAATAGAAAGTTAATATATTATCCGTTAACATATTATTTGGTTATTATGTAAAAAAATTACTTCTAATATTTATTTTCACTTTACGCGATTTTTGTATTTTGAGTCTCACGCCTCAAAATGCCTTGAATTTACGCCTTACCTCACGAACGTAGAATATCTCAATACCCAATTACACAATATTAAAACTTTGTTAAAATTAAAAGGTTTGTCAATCATCAAGCAATATGAGTATCCTACTTGCAAAACTAACTAACATGTGTGGATGGATGTTGTTTCTCAAACTCCCAGTGTTGTTGCATGAGAGCATATTTACTTGGTGGGGGAACATATTTGTTGGAGTTTTATTTGCTAGTAAATTCCTTGACAATCTTTGAGTGTTTCTCTACTTAAGATGCATTGTACTCTTCTATGTTGCACCGATACATCTATTTATGAAGGCGTGTTGTATCAGATACGTGTCAGACGTAGATACACGTCTAATACAACACTTATGTGTCAGATACGACTTTTGATGTTTCCAATTAAAATAATATTTAATTTTGAAAGGAAACTTGTATCTGATACGCGTTTCCCATTGAAAAACGAAATAAATTTTGAAAAAATGACACGCATTTTGTATTTACTTTCGCGGTTAAAAGCGAGGGTTCTCTCATTTTCGAACCCGAGAGACAAGGCGTTAGGGCTTCTTCATTTCTATGACCGCGAGCGTGCATCTAGGGTTTATGTCTTTTTCATTTCATTGAAGGAGCCGGCCTATGGCGAGCAGGTGAGACGGGGCGATACGAGCGTACGTGAGACGAGGCTAGGTGATTCGAACGTTTGTTTATGTGAGATGAGGTCAGGCGACCGTGAGTTTGTAGGAAGGTTCGTTCTTTCACTCTGTCGAAAGACAAGGATTGAAGGTTCGTTCCATCTTCTATTATGAGGATCAAAGGTTCATTTCCATCTTTGATTACATGAGAGAAGTCCACACAAAGGTTCGGTTCATTTTCGTCATCTTCTAATCTTACCTTATTTAGTTTCTTTTCACGAGAAAAATTCATCTTTTGATTGATTCTTTCATTAGCAAATAGTTTTTTTGCTATTGAATGCTTTCACATGTAAAATTTGCTATATCAACCAATTTAATTCACAAGCTATTGAAGATAGCATGTTTACTTGTTTAGCTTCTTCATTAATCCTTCCTCATGCAAATTGTATTCCTTTTTTTCAAAAGCTTCATGAATTCTTATTAATAGAAATATAATTACAAAAAAAATTGTGGAGTTATGTCACAAAATTTGAGCTTTGGTTATCTAATTAATTTAGCTCTATAGTGGAATCATGCCACAAAATTCTTATTAGGCAATGAGTTTTAACTCTTCCCTTGAATTGTTGGTTATCTAACATTTGAGCTTTTGTATTTGGAGTTGTAACATTTGAACCAACAATTTATGTCAATCCTTTTATCAAGGAAAACTCCAATTTATATGGAAGGATTATAGGATGTAGGATGTTGTTGGAGATGGATTTAAGTCTCTTGATAATATTGAAATATTTGAAATTGCTAATCTTTCACTTGATGAGCCTGAATTGGAAGCTATGATATTTATTGAAGGTGATATAGAAGTTCAAAGATAAACCAGCTAATCCTATCATTCCTTCTATTGAATAGTTGAAACTTCGGGTGCTGGATAATTTATGTTTATGTTTTTGTTGTTGTACTAGCTATTTAATGCTTACTTCTATTTTGGTATTATAAGCTAGAAGATTACAAATGTTGTTGCTTTCATTTTTTTTGTCATTTCAAATATTATCTTATGTTCGCTTTCATAATTTTTATATATGATTTATAAATTATAATGCCTTGTTGGCGTCGTACCCGCATCCTATATTTTTAAGAATTGACTTGTACCATATCCATATCGTGATGTATCCATGTCGCTGTATCCGTCTCTGTGCAACATAGGTACTATTACCCTTTTTTGAACATGTAATATCATGAATGTTGGTGAAATATGCTGCTGGACAAGCATAGGTAAATCTGGATAAAGTCAGTTAAACAAGTAAATCTTGATGAAGTCAATCGTACAAATTGAATTCTTACCCTTTCGTGTAACTGCTTCAGTTTTTAATTTTCTTTCTGAATTAACATAGTACTGCTTATTACCTCAGAAAATCTTGTTGGTTTATCTGTTTCACCTCTGAGTTTAGTTGGCTTCTGTTTTATTTTGTAAAGATACAGTCCATTTTCTTAAAATCTGGAAATGTATGGAAAACACTTTCTTTCTGTAATGCATATTTGATGGAAACTGCATGGTGTAACTTTCTGTTTTTTTGCCTCATTTAAGAGTTCTGTTTTAATTTAATATACCAACACGAAGACTAGATCACTTTGGATGTGTGTTGATCAAGGTTTCTCCTGGTCAATTCGGGCATTTTCTTTGAAGAGCATGCCATAAAACATTTTACTTTGTTCTTCTGATGCCCAACTTCTAACTATTTCAAGCTATGTCAATACATGCCGTTTTAGACAGTGAGTGCTGAGATGTTCCTATCTGCTAGTTTATTCAAAATATGGTCTTGCTGCGTATATTAATATGAAATTGTTTATAAAGAAAATTAACTTATCGGCTTAAGATATTACGATGCTAGGTCCAAATATGTTTGTTTTTTTCCGATAATGAAGTGGACACTTTGGCGGAGTTGTGCTTTCTTCTTGTTTTTGGGCTATATTTTGTGATTATATATGGGATTATTTTCTTCACAATTCATGTCAGTCAAACAGTTTCAAAATTCTGTGCTTGCTGCAAATTTCCTTTAGGCCTTCTCCAACCGAACTCCAAACCCATGAATGGCGTCGCTCGCGAGCTCCAGCCGAACAACAAAACTTTCACAATTTGGTTGCGGGTGAACAGTGCGACGTCAATATTGGCGTTGCGCTGTTCACTTACGCTATTTTTCTGTTTCTACCGGATTTACGGAAGAAATGCGCATAAGAGGAGAAAGACGGTTACCGCGCAAAATGGAGTTCGATTGGAATTGAATCATGAATCACAGAATCTTTTAGTTTCACTGCATTTTGAAGTGAAAAATGGGATTTTCGGTTGGAGACGCCCTTAGGCAGAAAAACTATGTTCAGTTCACAAGGATTAAGATTTGAGGAGCTCTGCGAGGTGGATTTGGTTTTTCTTTCTGAATTCTTGTTTAATCTCTCATTAGAAAAATTTTCTCTGTCAAATTTGCAGGCTTGTCAGTATTTTGACTCGGGCTGTTAAATCAGATGCAATATCTTTTTCATATTAAATTGTGTATGAGTGGCTGTTTTTTTTTCAATGAAAGCTAGTGAACTCGATGACTTCTGAGCTTTTTTTTCTTGTGCTTGCATGTGGAGCTTAAATTTGTTTTAGAAAACCGTACTTGTTTATTGTGTGTGTGTGTATATATATTTCAATGACATGGCCACGTTACAATTTTTTAATTCCTACATCTGAAGAAAATTGAGCTTACAGACATTTGGGCTGTCATTATTTTGTTCTAACTCTATTGCATTGTCACAGGCAAGAATTTTAGGTTTGAATGCTTCATTTTTTCTCAAAAATGGTGGCCATTTTGTCATCTCAATCAAGGTATTTACATTTTCCCTTAGGTACTATTTTTGCAGTTTTATTTTTTTGGAAAATTTCAAGGCGAATGAGATAATATTTCCTAAATCATATATTCCTTCAGAACGCTATAGGCTAACCTGAACCTTGTTTCCTAGGTATTTTTAGATTATGACCTCATTTGGGACTGCTTTCTTACTGCTTAAAGCAGCTTTCTAGTACAAAAAAAAATAATTTTTTTACTAGAAAACTGCTTTAAAAAGCAATAAAAAAAATATTCCAAACGAAACCTAAAGTACCTCTTCTTCAACATCTAATGATTTATATTCCTTCCAGGCGAACTGTATTGACTCCACAGTGCCTGCTGAGGCAGTGTTCGCCCAGGAAGTAAAGAAACTGCAGGCTGATCAATTCAAGCCCTTTGAACAGGTTACTCTTGAACCTTTTGAACGTGACCATGCCTGCGTTGTTGGTGCTTACAGAGTGCCAAAGAAGAAGAAGCTAGACTCTTAAAATTTTTTGATGTGGCTTGAATGTTTTACCCTTGATTTTTCTCTTGAGTGTTGTACTTTCTTATTAGAACTCTTGATACCCATTATGGCTTAACTTATTCTAGTTATAATTTGCAAAATAATTAGAAGCCTTTTTAGCTTATTATATCCCACATGAATGTGTGGTGGCAGTCATGAGCTTATATATTGGTAAGGTAGCATGCAAGGAGTGATTGTGGCCATAATATATGGAGACTAATTACATATGTTGATTTATTCCCTCAAATGTTATGTAGTAGCTTAACAATCCTCATGAAATATCAATTGAGCTAATTATTCATATTGTGGTCATTTTCATTACCTTTATTAACATAAACTGAAAGAATTGCTATTCCATGGGATGTCTAAACATATTCTTGCTTGTTAGCAAGGACATCTAGTTGTGCTTTGTAACGGTCCATGTTGCTATCAGATCAAAATTTGATTTGATAAATTCATTCGAATCCTGTGATTTTAATATCTTTAGCCATAGCTGGTTTACATTAGTCATTTTTATAAGCCTTTTGAGTAGATTGAAAGAATATGGAGCTCAATGCATTACTTGCAGTTTTCTTTTCTTTTTACTGTACTTTTTATAGTTATTCTTGTGTGTGGATTCATTAGGGGTGTCAATATTGGACAATACTTGAAAATCCGATTCTAGTCCAATCCGAAAAGTTCGGTTTTGGGTTGACCCGAACTTGAAGTGGGTTGGGTTCGGGTAAGGAAAATCGGGTTGAGTTTGGTTTCACCCGAGAAGTTGGGAATGACCTTGAAACACGTATGCTCGCTCTAATTGGCCATGCCCGCTTGCATCGTGGCCCGCTTGCTCGCATCATGTCGCGTCCGCACATCGCCTCCTGCATCACTACTGCTACCCCTCCAGCACTGCTGTTGTTGCCCCGGCTGTTGCACTGTCGCTTGCAGTCGCGTCGCGTGCGGGAAATCGAACATCGAACTTGAAGCGGTGCTGGTCGGGTTTGGGTCCGGAAAATCAACCTGTTTTTAAAAACTCGTCGGGTTGAACCAAACTTGAATAGTGCCGGGTTAGTTCCGGATTCGATCTGAACCCAACTTGTGACCCAAAATTGACACCCCTAAGATTGACATAGCATGCATTAGCCTTCCCTCTTGTTTTTTTTTTTTTTTTAGTTGAGGAAGGTCTCTTTTTGGAGACTCCATACTAGTTTGTACTCGCTCATACTCTGTTTTAGTCAGGAAGAATATGACTTTTTGGCTGAGGCTTAACCATTGTATAAAAAAGCTATTATGTTAAAAAAAATAACTCGACCATAGATCATAACATACATAGAGCTTTATGCAAAGTGTTGTAGCCCATAAATGCACAATTAAGAGATTGAGCTGGAAATTTATGACATTCATGTGCTGATAGATTATTGTAGTTTGGATGATTTTGAAAGAAAAGATAATAACAAGTTAAATTTCAAGATGTGTCATACTTAATAAAATAAAAGATAAGTAAATTGATTTGTTTTTCCTAGTAAGCAAGGGTGTATCAAATGAGATAAAAATAATGGAATTTGTAGCTCAGGATAATGAAACCACTTCAGAAATGAAAAGATGTAAGAGAAATGATAAGAATTGGTTGAATGTGATAGATATTTAGGCTTAGGCTTTGTTTGGGATGATTTTTTTGTTGCTTTTTAAAACAGTTTTCTAGTACAAAAATTTCTTGAATTAGAAAATTTTATACTAGAAAGTCGTTTTAGGAAGCAGTATGAAAGCTGTCTCAAACGAAGCCTTAGTTTGGAACGGTTTTCTTACTATTTCTTAAAGTTTGTTTGATCTAAAGTTTAAAATTATTCAAGCTTTGGTTGAGACAGTTTCGTTTGGGATGTTTTTATGGATTTTTTATTTTGATTCAAGTTTGATCTAAAGTTTAAAATTCATTTACTTTTGATTCATTTTTGTGTAGGTCTGCACGTGTTAGCTTTATTATATTTAGGATTTATTTGGGATGATTGTAATGTTTTATAAAGATGATTCTAAAGTTGCTACTATGAAGTGTATTTTTTGAAGCTCTTGTGGATATTATAGATTTGGCCTTTCAATGATCCAATTATGAGAGTAGATGTATTTTATTTGGCCTATGTTAAAAAAGTAGAGGTAGATCTAAAAAAAAAAATTGCTTAGAAAATTTTAAAAATAACTTTTTTATTAGATTTGAATAAAAATTGGACTCTGAGCAAAACACAATGAAGAAAAATGTTTTATGTAGCCGACCCTATGTAGAGGGATTAAGGTTCGATGTTGCTGTTGTCGTCTTGTTGATATTATAAAAAATGGTCGTCTTGTTGATATTATAATTTTTTTCTAAAAAAAAAAATGAAACAACTTTATTAAATATACCGCATATTAGTAATTTTGGCTATAAAAAAAGTTTATTATCACAATTTAAAAAAAAAAAATCAATAAAATAAAATTGTAATTGCAGTCTTAAAAACCAAAGAGTGAGGAAGTTGTCCAACCCACCGATGCTTACCTTAGTTGGTGGGCGTGCTCCGTTGGAAACTCCCCATCCCGAGTTCGATTCCTTCGAGCGGCAGTCGCCCCTTAAGTGGGGGCCCCAAAGCGCTCGCTGCGGGTACAATGACATGGGTGGCCTGGTAGATCTGTCGGTGTTTACGAACTGCCAAGCACGCTCGGCGAAATCAGGCGTAGCAGCGGACATTTCCTCGTCACATAAAAAAAAAAATTTTATCCCAAATAGGCCTTTATTGTCTCACCATAGGGATAGTGAGGACCATTTATGCTCACTTTATAACAATTGCAAAGATATATAGACAAAAATGATAATCATAAAAGCAAAAGACTCTCTAATCTAAATACAATCTAAACTAAACGGGTAGTAATACCAGCTTACAAGACCTGAGTTTATTATAAGGTTTCAGTCGATCGAAGACATTATTCTCACAGGCATGCTGGCATGCAGAAGCGTTCACAGCACTCCTTTCTGTACTATATATATTTTCAATGATGCTGTCTTCTTATTTATGGCTTTTACCAGTCAGACTATGGTTGGTGTCATGATATGTTTTGAACACAAGGGAAAGATGCACAGAAGCTGTAGGCCTGTAGCAGCAGTCTCATCTCCTGCTTGTCTTTGATTACTTTGATGGCCAATCTCATCTGCTTAAAAAGCTTTTATATGACTGTTTTGTAAGAGAAAAACTTACACAAGCTTTAAAGATTATTAGATCAAAGCCAATAATTTTATGATTTGTTGTTCTTCATTTCCAGAAAAAAAAACTGCCTCTATATTAGCACTTGTAAGTGTGCAAACGAGTCGAGTCGAGTTTGAGCCAGCATGTGTTCGAGTCGAGCTCGACTATCAAATGCCGAGCTTGAGCTCGGACATGAGTCGAGCTCAAAATCTGAGCTCGAGCTCGACTCGTCTTCATGTCGAGCGGCTCATCGAGCTCTGCTGTCGAGCTCCTAGTCACGTCTGCTGTCGAGAACCGTCGTCCTGAGCTCGTTCGTCGTCTTGCCGAGTTCCGCCATTGAGATCCATTGTCCCAAGCTCGTCGTCCCGAGTGTAATAGTAGATCGTCGTCGTCCCGAGCATAATCTTCGAGTGCTCGTCTGTCGTCGTCACGAGCTTGTAGTCGCGTCCGCTGTCGTTTTCTCGCTTGCGTTTTGGATTTCCCGCTCGTGTTTTGGATTTCCTGCTCGCGTTTTGGATTTGCCGCTCACGAGCTCCGTCATCGAGCTGCTCGACGAGCCATCGAGTCGAGCAGCGGCTTGTTCAAGCTCGAGCTCGATAAGTTTTCGAGCTCGACTCGCGAGCTCGATAAGCTCGATTTGTCGAGCCTATTACCGAGTCGAGTCTGAACCGGCTTGCGAGGCGGCTTGACTCATTTGCACCCCAAGCACTTGTAATAATTTTTTTTAATGAACTTGAGATTAGTTCAATATATGATAGTTATATTCACATTATGTATAGTTATAATTATATACTTATTGCGCATTCAAATTTTATTTTGTTCATCCTTAAAATAAAGGTTAAGATTTTGTTTGAGAGTATTTTCTTACTGTTTCTTAAAGTAACTTTATAGTACAAAAATATATATATTTGTATTAAAAAGTTACTTTAAGAAGCAGTAAAAAAACGTCCCAAACAAAACCTAATTTTGCCCCTATTGAAGGATATGACAATTATGGGTCATCATAAGTGTGGCCAACCTCATATCATTGCAGTCCATTGAAAGCCACAACAAACATTTTCAAAGCCCACCACATGCATTTGTACTATTGAAGAAAGATGTTTGTCTTGGATAGAGATTTTGAGACCAAACCCTCCATTGAGCCTTGTGGCAAAAAGTCTACTAGAGACAGCATGAGCTTAATTTACTTGTTCTAAAAAGTCAATTAGTGTGGCCCATTTGGATGTTTCTTTTTTTCAATGCTGAAGAAGACATCACTGCTTTCCTTTATTGTTATAATTTTTTTTTTGTCCTTTTCTATAGAAACAATGAGTTCCAAGGTTGTAAATTTGGAAGGTTTTCAATTAGTGTAAGCTGCATTTAACAGATTCCAACCTGTTTTGGACACACTCTCCATTGCTTTATGTCAGCTTGTGGCCATTCATACACATGGAACACACCTTGCACTGTAAAATACAAAGATAGAGCCGGCTGGGCAAAGCCTAGGTCCCTGATTCGAGTCTCTTGGCAAGCAGTGAAAGCATTAAGTGTTGGCCCGTGTAAATTGGTGTGGGTTGCATGCAAGGTCGACCGGGGGTTTCACTGGCCTAAGGACAGTGCTTACTCGTCTCAAAAAGAAAAAAAAAAAAAAGAATGTGCTTTGGAAAATTAAAAATTTAAGATATTTTGTGATGGGTCTTTTTTGATTTGAAAGATTTGATATATTATATTGTCTAAAGTTTCATTTGAGATAATTTTCTTACTGTTTTGCTTTTTTTATCGTAATCATAATTTTTGTTTGACAAAAAAATACTTAGAAAAAAAAATACTATAAAGTTGGTTTCTATAACGGTTTTAAAAAGTTACATTTTCTATAGCAGCTTAACAAAATAATAAAAAAGTTATCCTAAATGAAGTCTTAGACTGTCACTTTGTTTCAATGTATGGTCAGTTTGGGATAGTTTTTCATATGCTTTTGTTCTTCTGACAACAATCACAATATCATTTAGTTGCTACTTTCTAGCTGTTCTTTATTACTTTTTAGAAATTTATGTGGTGTAAAGCTACTTTCTGCAACCTTAGTAATGAAATTGCTTTCTCTGCAACAACGTTATAAAACGCTATAGTCGTCTCAAACAAACACTTGATCCAAAACGATTCACTTGGGTCTGAAATGAGATCAATTTTATATGGCCGACGTATTAAATTGTGATTAATTTTATATCACGATTATAATATGGGGATTATTTTGGATCAATTTTGTATAATGTTTACTTATTAATTATTCATGTAGTGTTTGAATGTTGGAATTTTATTGAAATGAAATATTAAAACTAATTGAAAGCTCAAACTAATAATTACAAATTTATAATCTATTAATAAATTATTAAAATTTTATTATATTTTTCTCATTTTTCATTAATTGAAACAATGTAGAATAATTCATATTGCACCATATCAGAAATGTAAAGAGAGAAAAAATTCCAATTGCTTCGCCAATTTTAACTATAAATTCTGCTGTCAAGTTTGCATTCTGCACCTTCATATTTAATTACTGAACATTTTTTGGTAATTTTCCAAAATAAAAAAAAATCTCTAATGAAGCATTTTTACACTATAATAATTATTAGAGTAGTTGGGCAAAGGGTGATGATGGATGTCAGTGTCACTTAGTAAAATGCGATAATAGCTGTTCGTGGTGAACATTGATGTTGATCATAGGGCAGAGCTCAATGATTCTTCAAATACATGAGTTCTCTTCAACTCCAAGTCCCATTCATATGAAGAATGAGAGGTTTATTTATAGATTTTTGGAGTTGTATTTTAGTTCTTTTTTACATATATGAACTTTATCTAATTAAGTATTACAAAATCTAAACATAATTAAATTTTTCAAATTTTTAATGTTTACAAACTCTTTTGAAAATTTGGTTGGACTAACCTGCTCAAGTGTGAACCAGTCCACCAAGCGAATCAATCCAATCCCAAAAAAGTATTTTTGTACATAATAGGTCAAAATTCATCAAGAACTATGTTTGAATTGGAGAGCCGATGAATCAATCCCAATTTTGATGGATTGGTCGGCTTTAACATTGATCAGTTTATGACCTTTTGATTTTGATCTTATGAATACAAATAAAAGATTTAATTAAAAATTTACCCAAATCCTTCTCCCTCTCATATACTTGATGGTCATTCGACCATGAGTTTCAATAGGTTTGATTTCTTTTCAATATATATATATATATATATATACATTAAGTCTTAAATTGAATATTATTATTTTAAAGTTGAATATCTAATAAAATAGGAAAGATGGTAATGAAATATTTTCTAATTTTTTATTTGCATTAATATTCCAATCTAGCAATAATGATTGAGATTTTTTCTTTTGACTTGCATTTAATGTAGTGATAAGTTTTTGTTAGTTCCCAATATATATGCTCATTACATTATTTTTATATGATTTCAGATTAACATAAGGAGCATGTAGAGTGATGCTAAATAGTGATGATAATTGAGTTTTATTTTTTGCTTTGTAGTTTTATATATTCTTTTATAACTTATTGTGGTTATTATATATATTATTTTGATATTTTAAACTTTGATCAGAATGTAAATATTGATTGTAGTAATGTAATTATATATATATATTGATATTTGTATTTTATGAATGTAATTAGTTATCTCTGGTTATCAATGATATGATTTTTAATGAATAGAAAAAAATATAATACAAAAGATAAGAAGTAAAGTTCTTCCATTTTAGATCTTGGAGCATCACAATCGAGGTGAGCGCCCTAATTTTTGAGCTTTTACAATGAAAAATTGAGTTAGAGGATCTTTCTAATTTGTTCTCCCTTGGAGTGTTTCTTGCTTGAATCATTTTGATGAACATTTTCTCCATCTCTACTAGGTTATGATACGTGGCGTGGTTGGAGGTATTAATGTTCATCGATTACTCAAACTTTTCTTGATCTTTAAGATGTATTTGTCTTCTTGTCACTAGCATCAATCCACGCTCACTTCACCTTTTAAGATGTTTGATCTGAATTTGTCTGTAGATTATACTTTACTTTATAGCAATTAATCTTCTAGATAGGAATTAGATAATTGAAATAGATTTAGACTGAGCATGGAGAGAGAGAGAGAGAGAGAGAGAGAGAGAGAGAGAGAGAGAGAGAGAGGACATGGAAGTATAAAATATGCTAAAAATTTTCTAAGAGATTGGGTAATGCCCAAAAAATCTAAAATGTGCATATTCACCATTTATTTATAGGGTTTAGAGGGTTGCAAAGAAGGCTACATAAAAAAAAGAAAGTATAATGCTTAATGTGACTCATTATTGGCTATATCTAATATGTGTCTTGACTTATATATACACTTGCACTTATCTCTTTGCCTTTGACATAGCCCATGGTTTCAGGGTGAGCCTTTATCCTCGAGATATGGCATGTGGGACAAGTCTGTATGGTCGAGTCTTTTCGATGTGGCAATGACTTACTAAGGACAATGTAGGAGCCTCTAAGCGCCACGAGCAAATGATCAATTATTTCTGAAGGGTCACAGTCTTAATCCTCTGAGGTGTACACTTTTGGTAGTTGGAGCAAGGGACATCAATAGTGTTATGATGGCCAAGATGATGTCAAGGGATCTTGGGAGACTTATTTCTATTGAGGTGAGTGTCTCTTTTGGGTCTGTACAAGTTCCCTAATGCATGCATGCCTAAGACGACTCCACAATTCGATCTATTGGGGCGAGTCACGTTTCTTGCTCGCAAGTGTCTTGGATGGACGATATGATTGTTCTCACCTAGTTCTTTAACTAGAATCTACTGGGTAACTATAAAATAACTATATAAATATATATGAGTTCACAATCAAAGTGATACAAAATTATCCAAATTCAATTAAATCTCAGCTTTATTCAAGTACTCTTTACCCTTAAGTGGATAGTATATTTCTCCAATTCTAATAATCCAATTTCCTTAACTTTGCAATTATAATAAATTTATAAAAATAATCTAACATATTTAAAAATAAATATAATTAATCACAATAAATAAATTAGAATCTGGACCCCAAATCTCCCCTCATGCATAAATAAAACCTTCTCATGAAGGTACATTTTATTTTCACCCCGTTTTCCTTCTTATGCACCCCTGCATTACCATCCCATGCGAACGAGGAAGGAAGAGCAAAGATACAAAGGGGGTAAAGATAACAATATTTTAATAATAAAAACCTCCAGGGTGAAATCGGAATTTCACAATATTATACTTTCCCTTGACCTTCCTATAATTACCTATAAAATTTTAAATTATTCAAATGCAAAAATAAATAAATAATTAAAATAATTTTCAATGTATATTAAACAACTAACAAAGCGACCATCTTTGAAATTCTGCTCCATTTACTTTTGCTGAGCGCGAGCTTTGGAGGCAGGGCGAAGAGGAAAAGAATCTTTGCGTTCTGTTGCAGAAGAAACGACGAGTTATAGAAGAAGATCTACTTGTAAGTTTTCTTCGTCTTTAATGGCGGATTATATAGCGTCAATTTGTTTTTTGTTTTTGGAAAGATGGAGTTCTTTGATTGATTCTGCTTTACTAGAGCTCTCTACTCCCCTCCTTTTTTGCACGTTTAAAAATGGATATAGCAGTAAGTTCTTGGAATTGGAACGCCTGCAATACCGGTCTCTACTTGTATTTTTTGATATGCTTTCTTATATAGATGGTTATCCTTGTCTTAATTGTTTTGAGATGCGATGTTCAGATCTGAAGGGTTCAAAATGTTATTGTATTATTGCTTCTGAAAGCCAGCGTATTTTCTAGTGAGTTGATTCATAGTTGTCGGATTCTTCCTGTTAAACCTAAATCAAAGGGCGTGGAGAGTGGTCTCGGATCTGGAGCTTTGGAATGGGATTTTCGTTCGTAGGTGTTGTCTCTGTGACGATATTTTTGCTATGTGGTCTGTGGGAATTTTGTTTGTTGATGGAATTTTGGTTTATGGAAGTTCATCAGATTTTTTTGTATGGATAAGTGGCATAGGAACTATTGGAAGTCGTTTTCAACTTCTAGTTTCTTCGTGCAAGTGTTTCAAGGCAATTTCCTACTTTTTTATTTGTCACTTGTCTCTTCTGTTGAAATTAAAAATTTTCTTATTGGACTGTGAGGTATTACTGGGCCAGAGGCACTGTTCTATTAGAATGATGTCAAATGATATATTTTTTTTTCTTCAGGTTTAGACGTGTCTTAATCCCGTTCTTCTCCGCTATGATTTACTTAACTTGCTACGATCTCATGAGCTTTTCTTTCTCTGTTTTTTGTTTGAGAATATTCTCGGTTGTAAGCTTTTAGTGTTGTGTACGAAGGTCTTTCATAAGTTTCTCCACCATTTTCAGAAAGTTTTTTTTGTTTGTCCTGTTTCAGTCTCTTCCTGTTGGGCTCATTGGTTGCATGCAGATGAAAAACATATTTTAGAAAGCGAATGGTTTGTTGTCACTTTTGACCGAATTCTAATGTGGTTTGTGGATTTTGAAACAGTTATAGTGTCTAATTACATCCTACCAAATGATGGGTTTAACAAACTTCATTGTTTTTCAAAACATGATTTCTAATCTCAAGCACTCAAATGAGCCCTTAGGATTCTAAGATTCTTTTTATTTCTCTTGGACAATGTACTTTTTCTCAACTCATTGGAGTAAACATACACCATAGATTACGTTGTCCCAGCAAGAACATTGCGGATGATCCTTCTATTTCTCACCTTTGAAGGTGTAAATCATTGCTCCTTTTAATCTCTGTTTTCAACTGGTTTTATACAATTTCTTTACATTATTCATTCCTTCGAAACTATGACTAAGTGATTTTTTTTTTCCTAGGTAAGTTTATTCGTAAGGGGTTGTTTGATTGGAAGTAAAGTGGATGTAAGTATTCCTTTTATAGGGGTTTTGAAAATATTGATGTTTGGTTGGATGAAGGTTGTTTGATTGGAAGTAAAGTGGATGTAAGTATTCCTTTTACAAGGGTTTTGAAAATATTGATGTTTGGTTGGATGAAAAAGGAATGCAGTGTAAAGTATTCTAGTTCATTGTATGAAAAGTAAACTCGTCCAATTTTGAGTGAAATTTTTTTCACCACAAGCAAGCTACCTTGTCGGCTGCCAGCTATCTTTGTACTTTACTCTATATTCATGTTACTTCATGCCAAACAAGAAATATAGTCACCTCCATTTATTTTGCACTCATCCAAACAACTCCAAAACATTTCATTTACATTGTATTCATTTTTCAACTAACCAAATGACCCCTAAATAAAGTAAATGCCCTTCCATAGGTTTTCAGTGCTTTGTTAGGCATATACTAATGGTTGTTTTCCCACCTCACCTCAAACTACTAGCAGGATCGCACACGCGCATGTGTATTGTTAAGATGCAAATCATAACACAAAATAGTCTCATATAAAAAGTGAAAAATAAGAGTTAAATTTGTAATATAATAGTTATTGTATTGATATAAAATTTGCGGTGTTAGAGATGGATAGTTACATTATAGTTGGTGTCATGATCTTGTATGCACACACTGATAAAGAGATAAAATTATACTAATTTATATGAACCTTTTTTTTTGTGTGTGAAAAACCTGAAGAGGTAAAAATTGCGGGGTCCCAATTAGATCAGACTTGCTTGTCTTGGTTTGAAACTAGAAAAGCCCTCATTTTTCTTGACCGAGGCAGATGGGAATATAATGAAAAAACTCAATAGGAGATTATCTCTCAAAATATCTATAAAAAGTTGCGATGTCGTCGAATGATGATGCATTTTAAATGGTGATATTGATGAAGATAAATTACTAACATCTATTTTAGGAAACTGATGTATGTTGTTTGATTGGAAAGTAGGGTGAATTTAGTTGACAAATGCTTTTTCTGGTAAACGGATCTTGACAAATGTCTTGAGTTGAAGGTTGGTGGGTGTTGAAAGTGAGTTAAGTAGACATAAGATAGGTGTCGATACCAGATGTTGGTCAACAAACGTTGGTTAGTGGACACAAAGTAATGACTGGCATTGGAAGTAGCATGTTGGTCTACAAACATAAGTTAGGGGTAGGGATGTCAAAACGTGTTGACGGGTTAAGTTCATGTCTGATCCGAAATTAACTCGACCTGAATCCAATTAACTCGAACCAACTTGTTTAATAAACGAGTTGAAAACACCAACTCGAACCTGACCTGCTAGCAAATCGAATTATCAGAAGCCGATTCGTTAATCCGTTTTGCTTAATTTTTTTTATAACTTTTTAAAATAAAATTTTGGATATTTGATTACAAATAATAAGATTATATCCATATATAAAAATTAAGAAAAATTTATATTAAATAGGTTATTTTTGGGTAAAAAATGAGTTCACAGGTTAACCCGAACTTGACCCGTTTAATAAACGGGTCAAAAAACCCAACTTGAATTCGATTCCTTTATTAAGCAGGTCATCTCAAACCCGGATTTTTGGGTGTGGTTTGGGTCGGGTTGGCGGATCTAGTCATTTATTGACACCTTTTGTTAGGGGATGTCAGTTGGTGGGCAAAAAAGAGATGATTGACTTCTAGAGTAAGACATTGATCAATGATGATGTCGGTTGATATTGATTTGCAGACTTCTAACAAGTGTAACTGTTGGGGTGGGTGGCCTTCTAGAGGCTCTAAATGTTGTAAGGACTTTAGAATTTTCTATGATTTTGTCTTAGTAATCGTAGTTTCGAAGGTGAAAAATAAGAAAAATTGAGGCTTATTTATATAATTTGAGAGTAATCTTAGTAGTAATAGATCTAGTGGGGTGAAAGTGAGTTTGAGCGATCAAGTCATTAATAAGAGTACACATTTAAGATATATAAGGTGTATTGTTTAGAGTGATGGTGAAATAGATGGTGGTATTATTAGTATTCATGTTGGATGGTTGAAGTGGAGGAATGCCTGCATCGGGTTTGTTGAGCGATAGAAAAGCAATGCATCGGGCTTGTTGTGTGATAGAACTCTCCCTCCCAAACTTAAGGTAAAATTTTATAAGATTGTGGTGAGACCTACAATGCTTTATGGTGCAAAATATTGGTCATTAAAAGGGAAGCTTAATATTAAGTTAAGTGTGATGACCTCGTTTTTATCTTGTTTTGCTCTCGAGCATGTTCAATCAGGTTGATTGGGCTTCGTCGGGCTCGATTCGACTCGAGCTGAGTCAAATTGAGTTTGATTTGGACTTGAGTCCGACCCATACCAGCCCATGTTAATTCTAATTAAACTCAAGTCTACTTTTTATAATGAAATTGAATCCAATTCTAAATCAAGTAAAAGATCGGATGACCTCAATCGCGCATGCTCTTTGTTGTCTGCCAAATCCCGCTATTCTACGACTCAAACATGTATCGAGCAGTGAGCATGCCTTATTCGAGTATTTTGGAAGGATTGAGGCGAAGACGAAGAAAGCTCATGAAAGCCAATCGGGTTTTATTGCTAAGAGGTGCTCAACGGATAACATTATTCTTGCATCTGAGATCCCGAGGGAGTTTAAAGGGCCTAAGAACTACTTCTGTGCCAAACATGATATTAAAAAAGCATTTGATTCTGTTTCCGCTCTTTTTTGGTGCATAGGCTTAAACAGAAAGGTTTTCCTGATACCTTTATCATGTGGATTAATGGGTGTATTTCTGATGTCCATTTTTCTGTCTGTTTAAATGGGGTTCTGGAAGGTTTTTTTTCATACTCCTCTGGCTTAAAGCAAGGATGCCCTCTCTCTCCCCTTCTGTTCTGCATCATTATGGACGAAGATCATCCTACTTTCAAAGGTTTGCATATTCATAATTTCAATTCTAACCACCTCATGTATGCTGATGACTTGTTGGTGTTTGGGCAAGCTACTGTAGATAATGCCATCGCTCTTAATGGTGTCCTTAAAACTTTTGCTGATGCATCGGGTTTGCACATCAACCCCAATAAAAGTTCTATCCTTTTTCCCAAGGATTTTGATAGAGGGCAGCAGTTTGCGGGTTTCCTAGGTATTTCTAATGTGGAAATCTGTCTCACTTATTTGGGGTTCCCTATTTCTACTTGCAGGCTCAATTTTTCTCACTTCCAACCCCTCCTGAGTAGGATTTCTACTCTTCTAGCGGGCTGGAAAGTCAAATTTCTCTCTTTTACAGGAAGGATTCAATACCTTAAATTCACTATTGCCAACACCAAGGTTTAAAATTGCGTAATTAAGCCTCGAGGCGGTTTTCGTCCATGAGGCGAGGCGTAAGCCTCGAGGCGGTTTGAGGCTTACGCCTCACGGACACAGAATTGCGTAAATGAAAAATTAAGGATTTTAGCAGGAAAATAATAGCAATATTGTGCCTTACAATAAAAACATCTAAATGATATATGAAAATAGTGGAAAATAAGAAAGTAGATGCAATAAAATCATGTCCCAAAGTACAAAATCACAAAATATTAGTTCAACAAAACTCCCAAAGTACAAAAAACATATAA